AGACAAATTATTTTTTCGTTTCTTCTCTTGTTTTCTATTGTTACGCCCGACATTCGATTACTAGAAAATAATTCGTATTCGTGTCTAAATTACAAGAATCGTTTTGTTGGTGATAAATAAATAAATAAATAAAAACAAATTAGAAGTCAATATCAAATCCAATTATGACACCGGCTCGGGTCCAATCCATTGACATTAGGACAAATAATGTTTGGGACAATATTCTAATGATGGTGTTATGAATTGCAAAACAGGACAAAGAAAAGGATGGACGGAGAGTGTTGAGAAATCACATTAAGGGAGGAAGAGGAAGAGGAAGAGAAGGAGCAATGCAGCCCAGTCTCTGTTTAGACCAACCCTTCGAGAACGATGACGAGGGGCATGAGAACATCAATGAGGACGACGGTTTTGATTTGGAGTGCAGCTATGCCGCTTTACAGAGTATGTCACAAAATTTAATTGTGCACCACCAATCGGTGTGTTGTTGCGCAGTCGTTTTCCTCCAACAAATTGTCCTACACTCATCTTCAGACTTGATTATCTAATATATGTGTAGAGTAGCCTCATTCTGATATGATTATTATGCCATTCAAGTTTTAGAGATTAAACATAAGTCATACGCTCTTATGGACGTGGACGTGGCCGTCTTCTAACATAAATTTGAACACGACCCCACCTTTTGATAAAGGAGTTTTGTCTTGATTTGGCTACTTCCATTCAATGCGTTGGGTAGAATTTGAGCAAGTAATACTTAGGGTAAAGAATCATTATTGCTCTTCAGTACTGGTGTATTTTTTTACCTATTTTACTGGTTTGCAAGTGGTGGAACCTGTAAGAGCTATTGCTGGCCGGATGTGTTGCATTAATATACTTGAAATAGTACAAGTATCCCATGCTCAATTTAGGCATAAAAAATTTTCTACCAACATAGATGCTAAGCCTGTCTACCAGAGTCGCATAAATGGCGAGTAAATGATTTGGTACAGATAAGGTGAAACAGAGTCTGGACAGACATACGTAACCAATTAAGTACATCTACCTATATAGATAAGTATTTGATTTTGACTAGCTATCTCCAGATCTGAACCTTATAACATATTCTAATTATAACTCTTAAGTAACTTCAATAACTGATCATTTGTATATGCTGATTTGAAAATTAGAATAAATGTTTGAGCAATTATAAGTAGACTATTATGCACAGAGGTCTTTATAATTATTAATTCTTTTTCTGCTAATTCGACAGGAGCAAAGCAGCAACTATTGTACAAACTTCGTAGTTTTGAGAAACTTGCAGAACTGGATCCAATTGAACTTGAGAAAAGAATGTTAGAAGAAGAGGAGGAGGAAGCCGATGAGACACCAGAAGAAAAGGACTATAACAGGTTAGTCTTAGAAGTCATCTGCCAATCTAGCACCATGAAAGACGAGGAATCCGGAAGACCACAAGAGACTGATTTCAGATCTCATTGTGGAGGAAGAGAGAGAACTTAATTCCTTGGAGGAGAGGGAAACAGTGATAAGAAGGGTTTGTAAGAAGCTGGAATTATGGAGAGAATTGGAACCTAAAACAATTGATATGATGATCCAACAAGACTTTGGTAGAGAGGATGATGGATGGAAGAAAAATGAAGAGCACAAGGAGGAGGTGGCAGGGGAGCTGGAGCTGGCTATTTTGGGGCTTCTGGTGGAAGAATTTCAGAGGAGCTGGTGATGGTATGTTGAAATGGGTAAATTGGGAAGCATGCGGAGAACTTAATATGAGGCATTACCTTTATTCTTTTAGTTAGAAGAGTACAATACAATCTGACACACACGGTAATGAAGTAGGCTAGTTAGAGAAATGACCCAACAAAGCTAGTGTGGGTTGCAGATTAGTATGTACATGACTCGTGTATGTAGCTGGCAGGGAAATGCTGCAAGTCTGCAGCAGCGTAATTGAATATGATTTCAAAATCATTGTTGGCCTTCTAGGTTCTCATGTCCTGATGTTCACTTTGTACATTGGATTTATTTTATGTCGCATTGTAAACAAACAGGTCCATCGAGCCAATCGTGATGGCGTAGTGGGGTTCACGCCCGCAATCTGTGACTATCCTGTTTAATCGGAGAACCTTTTTTTGACGAAGCATTTCGAGTCACGTTGGGGTGGTTAGTAGCTAAACGTGGGACATTAATTATATATACAGATGTTAGTGAAGCGAAGCAATCTGAAACTAATTAAGGGTTGGAGAAATAAACATGACAGGATAGCGGAAAGAGAATTTGAAAAACGTAAAGGTTCGCCCTGCCTTCACCTTTCAGCGCCTCCTCTCTTGCGTTCTGCAATATCATGATTTCGGCTTGACCTCAATGGGAACGTCAGCTCCAATTGGCGTCAACAAATCGGCCATGAGCACTCCACAGCCAATGCCCTTTTGTTGCTCTCTCTCCTCTCACCCCAAACCCCATTTCCACACATTCCCTCCCACCCAACAGCCAAAAGCTTGTTTGGAATAGCCATTGGAGCTTTAGCATTAACTCGTGATTTAGAAAATATGAAATAAGCATATGAGAAAAAATTTTATTTTGACTCACGTATAAATAAGAAGCCCAAAAATTATTAATTGAAAAAAAATATTCTGTACAAGTATATAGCAGCTAGAAGATATAAATCTCTCAATTCATTCCAAATTTCCATTTTATGCCTATTTTGTTATTGCTTTTGGTATCATAAGATATGCCTTGATGTAACTGAAATTTAATTCACCTTATTCTTATCCTCATGAAAAAAATGATTCAGGCAGCATCATTTTTTTAATTGTATCGGTTAAGTGCAGCGACTATATTCATCAAAAACCTCTTCTTGTGTGTGGGGAAACAAAATCCCCTTGGCCCACACCAGCCTTGTTGAATGAAAAGGGGCAAATGTGAAAAGTTACAGAAACCACTGACGACCGACCTGGGAGGGGGTGCGTCGCCACGTGACCGTTTAATTGACACGAGCGTTTCCCGTTCGAAAGCGCATCACTATTCACTAAGCTCATGCTCTCCACAACGGACCTAACTTTTTTTGTTTGGCCAAAAGACAACGGACCTAACTTGAACGTCAAAAAACAACGACCTAACTTGGGCATTACTTTTCACTGTTGCGGCAGCATGACTTCTCCCATGATTATTTGTCCTGTTCCAAATTCCATAACGAGCGTTGCACAACTTATTTCTACACCACCATAACCCCTTTAAATCTTATCTCGGTACACCATTTTCTTTATTTTAGTATTTTCAAATGTTAAGAACCCAACACGAAATAAGCTCCGAAACTGAGAAGACGAGAAAATTCGAGAAACCGCTTTGCGTGTTGCTTGCCTGTGCGTCATGATATTGACATTTGGAAGGACCTGCCTCGGGTGACAATATTGGGAGAACAAATTAAAGTGTGTGTCCTGAGTTGGACGTGTCAAAATACTCCCATAATACAACAAATCCTAACTATTTAAGTTTTGTTAAAGAAACCAGGAATACTGATCGTCGTTTTTATTTTATTGGCAATTATACATTATTTTTTTCCGTATAAGAATTACATAATATATAATATGTGAAGATATCACTATGAAACGCTTTTGCTTTCAACGGATGAGGACACGCGTTTCCTAATATTATGTATAATTAATATGAATTTTCTCTGGAAATGATGTTGATATTCTTTAATAAATTTAAATCATTAAAAACTGAGTCATAACGACTTTTTTATTTTCATTGCAGATGTGCCAGAGAGTAGAAAGAAACTTAATTAATCATGTACCCAAAAAAAGAAGAAAATTGAATTAAAGAGGAAGGATCACGTTTGGAAAGGGAGGGTAAGTTGTTCATATTTTCCCCTTTTCGGCACGCGACATTGAGAAAAAAGACTTGGAACGCTTACACGTGGAACATAAAGAATTACGCTGAGGCATCAATTAGCGCACGTCGAACGCGTTTTCCAGGTGCCGCAAAAGCAAAGGGGTAGCGGTGTAAAGATGGGCCACACCAGTCTCCACAAATTAATTGGAGTCACAAAACCTTCTGAAACCCAACCTCTCTGTTCAACGTAAACTGCCTCTCCCATACTCTGGCTCTCGAAATGGTGAACCAGAAGCGAAGGGCTGGAAGGAAGAAGTTCCAGGAGACTCGTCATCCAACATACAAAGGCGTGAGGCAAAGAAACGGCAAGTGGGTTTGCGAGCTTCGGCAACCTAACAACAACAAAGCACGCTTGTGGCTCGGCACTTTTGCCAACCCTGCCACGGCTGCCATAGCCCACGACGTCGCTGCTCTTTCTTTCAAGGGCGATTCTGCGTCCCTGAATTTCCCTGACGCTGCCTCCTCCTTGCCCCTTAATCCACACACCTCCTCCCTCAGGTCCATCCAGTTCGCGGCCATGGAAGCGGCTGAGAAGCGTCTCTGCGGTGACGATGCTGGGAAAAACGTCTCGGCTTTGTCTCTGGACTGTAACTCTGAGTACTCGGAAGCATTAGAAGAAGGAGGGGACGCGGCGGCGAGGAGCATGTATTGGGATGAAGAAGAGGTATTTAACATGCCTGCACTCATGAACAGTATGGCAGAAGGGTTGATCATCACACCGCCAGCCTTGCAGAGAGGCTTCAACTGGGATGACATCGAAACTACCACCGACTTGACTCTCTGGGGAGACTGACTCCCAAACAGTAAAACCCTTCATTAAACTCATTTATGTACATTCTATAGAAAGTTTCAGTACTTACATCTTCAACCTCCAATCGTTCGCGCTCCTTCATATTCTCATTGTTTACGTGCCGCCCCGGTATTTTTATGTGTAATCTCTACAGACCCAATATGTTGTGCTATGATACGTTGGAAGGTTTGATGATGTCTAGTTTTCATTGAGTAAAGGCGTTCGTTCCACCGATTGGAAAAGATATTATAAATATACTAAACAGGGCTATATTGCATATTAGTGGTGATTTTGGTTTTAAAAAAAAACGTGTATTGGTGATGATTATATGATAGGATTGACGATTATAATCCACGGGGGCCAAGTAAATTATTGGATGACGAATTTCTGTTGGACATTTGAATGCGGGAAGGGGAGGCATTGTATGAGTGAGAATGGGAATGCCCAGGGAATCAGGGAAGGGATGGTGCGAAGTAATGGGTGATGGGAGGAAGAAAGTTTGAAGACACGAGGGCCACCGAGGCCTCTCTCCGTCATAGTTGAGTGCCTCTACATGGGATTTTGGCTCCATCTTTATTTGCCGCGTGGAGTTTGAGAATTGAAGTGGTGGCTGTAGGGACGAGGCCGACTGCATGTTTCCACCAATCACCTTTTTTTTCCCCCCGGCGTCCCTGCCGTTGTTCGAGTGTTCTCTTGCCAGCACTAGGCAGCTGGTTTCATTTGTTATTTGTGGCTATATATTTTAGGATTCGCGTTTGATACGGTGCTGTGTTTACGCTTGTGATTTTGTTTTCTGCTAGTGTCTTGAGGTGTTTTGCTTTTTTTTTTTTTGGGCGCTCTTTGCAACCCTTCTCAAGTCTGCAGACCTTCGTTTCTTATAGTAATACTCCTCCGGCCCTTAATATAAGATCTAATTATTAAGTTAATTTTAATCCTAAATATAAGACATATTTTTCATATTTATTAATTTTTTTTCTAAATTATCCCTATAGATACTTCCTCAACCATAGTCAAATAAGTGACGGATGGAGGATATTAAGAAAAATGATTATAGTGTTTTAGAAAAAAATGTCATGTTTCTTATAATTAACTAATTTACTTAACTTTTTAATCTAATCAAATTAATTAAATAGACCTTATATTAGGGATAGTATGTTTTTTGTTTTTTGGGTCATGATTCATGAACGAAACTATTCCGTACATCCTACGAGTGAACACCATAAATGGAGACCCGATATTATAGGATGATCTTGCGATTTGCAAATCAATTTGTGCCTTTTCTTTCTTTTCTTTTTTTAATTAGTGTTGGAAAAACTTATATACAATTAAAGTACCTATTTCCAATTTTTTGACCAAAAAAAAAGTACCTATTTCCAATTTAAATAAGGCATGTGGATTTTTTTAATTCTATAATAAATTTTGTTATTAATATTAGGGTTAATACAAATTTTGATCTTTTATGTTTGTCTTCGTTTTAGTTTTGGTCCTTCAACTTTCAAACTATAGATTTTGGGTTGTTCAAGTTTTTTTTCATTTAAAATATTAATTCTTATAATTTAATAAAAATCTAAATTATTTTGCTTCTTAAGGGATCAAAACTCATGGTTTGAAACTTGAAGAACCAAAATTAAAATAAGAACAAATTTGAGGGGCTAAATATTATATTAACCCTTAATATCATCATTAGTTTAAAATTTACTTATTTCTATTTCATTGGATTTTTTTTTTTACTTGCCAAAAAGTACGTAAAGCTAAGCACCTAGTCTTTTCGGTTGGTTTTGTATAGTAAGACATGAAATAAATATGTTTCTCTCACCCCCGCGAATTAAGCGCGTGCGTTTTTCAATTTAAGGAATAAAAAATCTTCGCCAATAATTTACTAAGCACGCCGTTCCCTCACTCATGATATAATTATTTCGCATATCATAATTTGATTTGAGTTAAGATATTTATAATAATAGTTTTAGTTTCTTTGAAAAAAAATCAATAACGCAGCAACAGGGCAGGATATTAAAAAAAAAAAAAAGGAACAAAAAGAAGAAGAAGAAACTACAAAGCGAAGTTACTTGAGCTTGTTTTCCTTTACCGACCAACTTTGGGCGCCACCGCACCTTTCATGCCAGAACAAACTCGGCTTTTCTACAGAAGTAGATGGGCCTGGATGTTTTCTGGCAAAATATACAGGGGCTACATATTTTAAGCCCATCAATAAATGTAATGGACGAGAGATTTCAGCTCACTTGGTGATGGTGAATGGGAGCCCAAAGACCGAATGTTTCTTAGGCCTCACCCTCTCCGGGGACCCATGCGCACTCCTCTTATCCGTAAAAGAGTTTCAAGTGTGTGCAGGGAAAATATAAGTTACTGTCTTTTCGGTTCTAAATATAAAATGAGTTTTATATTTAGGATATTTAGGATTAGAGGAGTACTATATTCTTGAAAGGGAAAGAACCATCATCAACTAATTAAGCGGAAAACTCAAGGGAAAGTCTTACATAATATATTGAATGAGGATTGGGGCGGGTATGATCAGAAGCATTAACTTGTTGGAGAGTAGTGACGACGAAGCTTGTAATTTTACTGTGGAGTCTACGGGGAGGGGTAGGAGTTCTCTCATGCACACACTTATATATGATTTGATATTATTGCTGTAGTCTTCATGGCACTAAATGGGGTTAGGCGCATCCGCATGTAACTAATGTTTGTTAGGTCATGGATAGTGACGACCACATTATGCGAATTTTGACATTCACTTGTATCGGCATTTGATGATAATAATATTCACGGTATCAAGCTAAATATATATATTTAGTCTTTTAACTTTATATAGGGTTTCGCTCTGGTCTATTAACTTTAAAAAATATACTTTTAGTTCTTTAATCTCGAAATTGTTAGTCTTAAATGATGATTTTTTTGTAACAATCATGGTTTGTTTTAATATTAAACTTAATATGTTAACATTTACTAATATTTTATCAGCATTTAGTTAACAGTTCATTTCATTTTTGTTAACAGTTTTAGGTTTAGAGAGTAAAAGTTTACTTTTCAAAGTTAAGGGATCAAAATGAAACCTTGTATAAAGTTAAAAGACTAAAAATATACATTAACCTAAAATGTTTTAAAAAATTATGAATTCACCATTTAAATATTCCATGGAAAATTTCGTGGCTAATCTGCCATGGAATATTCCGTTAGTAATTTCATGGCTAATCCTTTTTTTTCCCTTTTATTATATTAAACTATTTTATTTTGATTAATTGTTTAGTTTTTGAGGGGAAGCAAAAGACAATTAAATTTGTTGAAAATCAAACATGCTATAATTAAAAATATAGTCTTTGATAGATCCTGAACACTTCAAATGTCAAATGTCAACTAAAAGTCAGAAATAATAAGCCAACTATCCAATAATGATAACAACTCTCGACTGTCATTTTCTAAATTTATATTGCTGCTAGAGGGCTTAGATAATCTAATTCCCATTTGCTCCAATGCATTTGCTATAATTTTGTTTCATCTCTTGATGCCCTTGTTTAATTTGTTGATTTTCTTGTGTGAGTTCTGTTATCCTTATGCACAATTCAATTTCAACATTAGTATTGATGCTTATGCTGTTGATGGAAGGAGAAGATCTCTGAGGTGTACAAATATCATCATCAGCCTCAGATCCAAATCCATAAATGCAACCATTCTTGTTCCTATCACCTGTAACCTCTAACCATATGTTAAATTCTTTCTTATTAGATTGCACACTTGGAGAGCTTTTTTTAGAACTTAATTCTACCTTTCTCCTTATGAATTCATCCTATAAAACAAAAAGCAATAGCAACTTATCTAAAGATTTATCTGTTAATAAAGTACAATAACGTCGTATGATTCATATAGGCGACTCCACTCCATGAGATAAGACTTCTTGTTGCTGGATTAATCAAGAAACCGAAAAAGTATTATTCAGCATTGGAGTCTAAGTTTTTAGGCGTAGATTGGAGAGGTCGCGCTATACGTCATATATCATAATGATTGGTAATTGTTATTGAGCTGACATATGTGCCAATTAGCAGCTCCGATGCATCCAAGTGACAAACTGGCGCTTTTGTGAAGGAGCTGGCATGGGCCACCCACCAAAAGAAAAGAGTCCACAACCATTCATTGTCACCATGAACAATTAATATATTTTCATCCAATTATTGTGCTGGTCATATGCATAAATTTGGGAATAATATATATGTACCCTAGGAATCATATACGTTTTAAAACTGGGAATGCACGAGAGCTGACGTATATATATTTGCTGTAGAATCAGTCATTGCCCGGGAGCAACACTAGCAATTAATAGGCAGTTGAAGCTGAAGTTGAACCTTATCTTGGCCCGCTGTTGAAATGGAAGCCAGGATCTTCACAATTTCAAAGACTAATTCTCATTTTTATACACACACACGCACAAACTTTTAATTTTGACCATTTCCTCACGTAATTAATCACTTCGGATTGGTCCATATCACTGCCATCAACACGGAGACCTCCCTTATATACACAAGACCCTCCAGTTCAACCCAGAGTATTAAACCAACGTAACCCCAATCCTTTCATCTCCCCGAACCAAGCAACGCTATATACTGCTCATCAATTTCCCTTGTCTCGCTGATTAATTTCATACTCCGGCTTATTCTCATTCGGCTTTTTCAAGAGATGGGAGTTCCGGATCTACCCGCTGCTTCGACTTGCTCCGACGACGACGTAGTCGGCTACAGTGTTCCCTATATTCCTCAACAGTGAAAGGCTCCTCAATTTCATGTCTCCGACAGGAGAGTGTTCCTAGTCAAAAGGCGTTATTCCACAAGGCTTCGTGGTCGTGGTGGCCTTCTATCCTCCCTGGCTCGCAGGCTTGGCCGTTTTAAAGTCCGAATCATCGTTTTACGTGATGGCTCCGATCCTAGACAATGCTCCTGATCTTTTATTTCTGCATTCTAACCCTCTCCAATTATTTGTCCATTTGCAAGCACTATTGAATTCAAATTACTTCACTTCATTCTTTCTCTCACTCTCACATGTGTGGTCTTGAAGATAACAAAACTGATGAAATTTTAAGCAATAACCTCCCGGAGTACATTATTTAGTTCTCGCAGCTATATGCCCGTGTAACTTCTCAATATATGAATTAATTATAATTACTTAACCAATTAAAAATACGAAAATTACGCAAAAAGGGGGGGGGAAATCATGAATACTAATAATATACCCACCTTTATCCCCAGAATTGACCAGCAGGAATTGTTCCAACTTAACTAGAGATTGAGTTCGTGAGATAAGAATACAATACTTTACGGGTAATTATTGTCGGGTCTTCAATCTGAATTAGTTTGGGCCATTGAGTTTTTCATGATACAAAGACTAGCCCAGGATACTGAAGAAAAAAACAATTCCTATCTTTCAATCTCATGAATATTGGCCAGAATGAGAACGTCTAATGAATAGGCGTCAGCTGGACGTATATTTGTTGCACAGAATCAGTCATTGCACTGACGTCATAGGCAGTTGAAATCGAACCCTTGCATGGCCCACACAGCCTTCGCAGATCGTAAGTGAAGGACCGATTCTTACTACTTGCTTGTGTGGGCGCGCGCGCGCGTAGGATGCACATATCTCCCCTTTGACCGTTCAAGTGTCCAGACGCACAAACACACGCAAGCCCCCACGTGAGCCCGAGTATCAAATTAATTAACCCAAATTCCTCCATCTCCTCCTCGAACCAACTTCGCCGCTCTGCTTCAACAGTGATCTCCCGATTGGTTAATTCCATACTGATCCCCCTCATTCTGATTCGGCTTCAAGTACCTACAAACTTCGAGTCATCTTTGGCAAACAACAGCTCCTCATAATAACATTAGTTTCAAAATATATATAATGGTATTTTGGCATTTTACAAAGGGTGAGAAGTAACATTAGTTTCTTTGCATTTATTATTTGCCTTTTTTGGGGACTTCATTGGATTTTGGATATCTAGCGTCTTTGAAAAAATAGTTTAAGCACAAAAAAGCTCCTTTGACCCGAACCTAATTGTAACATATCACTAGTTACATCTCTTTTTTCAAAAAAATTATATTCACATAGACTTATATATAAGCGTATAGGGAAGGAAGAGTAATAAAATTAAAGGGGAAGAGAAGATAAGTTCACTGGAATGTCTCATTTACTGAGAAGTTTGAATGAGAAGCGAAAGAATGGGTGAATGAGGAATTTTCAATGTATTTAAGCTATTCCAGTTTCTGAGTCCTACTCCTGCATTTCCCCCGATTTTAAATTTCTCTAAGTCGACAAGTTAAGAAAAGAAAACAAAAAGACTAGAGAGAACAAAAAACTTGTACTCACACACCCATCAGCGTGTAAAGAAGGAAGAGTGAGAAAATTAAAGGGGAAGAGAAGATGATTTTACTGGAATGTCTCATTTATTGAGAAGTACAGTTTGAACAAGAAGCAAAAGATTGGGCTTGGGAGAATGGGTGGAATATTTTTTTTTGAATGAGATGGATAATTCTCATTGCAAAGTAAACTATACAAAGTCAGGCGATATACAAGCAACAGGATTTACATGATTAAATTGAAAGTAGAAAAACTTTTTTAAGGAATGCCTAACTATAGCACGAATACTTATCAAAATATTTTCAGTAGTATAATTCGCACTGGAAAAGAGATGGTGATTCCTTGCTTCCCATAATTTCCAACAAGTTATGCAAAATCCAATTTTCTAAGAATCCTCTAGGTTTGAATGCAGCAGCTGATGAGTTAACTAGTAAGCAATGTCTTTCCCAAAGAAATCTATGTACATATCATTTGGGAGAACTTTCTTCCACATTGAGGATGCCAAAGGACAAGCTTTAAAGACATGATTAAGATCCTCCATGTCTGCACAGCAAAGAGTTCATCTCTAATATGATGTTATACCTCTTCTATATCTTTCAGCATTAGTGAGCAATTTTCCTTTAACAAGAAGCCAGGTAAAGGTCTATCCTCTTAGCCATTAGAAGCTTCCATATCTGAGTCCACTTTTTTTCAGCATTGTTCCAATTCAGGTTTTCTGTAGCACGATAAGCCGATCTCGTGGTGAAATCTCCAGATTTCGTCAGGTGCCAAAAGCAAGAATGGGGTTGAGCATTTTGATCAATCAAAATTGCTGTTAAATCTTTGAGGACATGCGGAGGTAAAAGATTATGAATCATGCTCCACTTCCATTGGCCATAGTCATCTATAAAATTAAAAATGGGTCGTTGAAGATTATTTTGAGGTATAAGGCTAAAGGATAAATTCCTCAAAGGGCCACAATCTCCAATCCAAAAGTCTAACCAAAACTGGATTTTACTTCCATCACCAGGTTTCCATTTAACATGAAAATAAGTGTCTTCCACATGTTCACTAGATTCCTCCAGAAATAAGAAGAGTGAGGATGGGGATTGGTAATCAACATATCATCATTGAGATCATATTTACCTTTTAGAACATGAGCCCAAAGAAGATTAGGCTCCGAGATCATTTTATAAATCAGCTTAGATAAAAAAAGCTTTATTCTGCGATTCAAGTCTAAGCAGGCCACAACCACCATTCTTCAAAGGCTGGCATAATTCACTCCATTTGACAGGACTAATTCTGCGATGGTCCTCTGAATAACCCCATATGAATTTTCTGATGATTTTTTCAATTTCATTGCAACAAGAGGAGGGAAGCAAGGTGCTCTGCATGGTGTAGAGGGGCACAGAAGTTAAGACTAATTTGGCCAAGGTGATACAACCAGCCAGAGACAAGGATTTACTTTTCCAACCCGCAAGCTTAGATTGTAGTCTTTCAATGATGTGTCGATAAGTTTTTGAAGATACTCTACCAGTGACTAAAGGGATACCCAGATACTTGCCAAGGGATTCGGTTTGCTGATAGCCCAAGTCATTACAGATAGTTCGTCTAAGATTAGGAGGGACATTCTTAGAGAAATAGATCTTGGTTTTTGATTGACTAATCTTGTATCCAGAGGAGCAGCAAAAATCATGTAAAGTTTTCTTAATTATCGCCACTTGAGATGTAGGGGGAATGCCCAAAGATAACTAGATAATTAGCAAAAAAGAGATAAGAAAGAGGAACACCTCTGCAACCCATTTTGATGGTCTTCCAGTCTCCTCTATCAACCTGAGCACTAATCATCTGTGAAAGACACTCCATACAAAGGATAAAGATATAAGGTGACAAAGGGTCACCTTGTCTAACTCCCCTCATTGGAACAAAGGAATCAGTGGCTTTACCATTTTAAAGTACTTGCATACTTGGAGGGGTGATACAACCCATAATTAAATTGATCATCTTTGTCGGTAGACCAACATCATGCAAAGTATCTTCAATGAAATCCTGTCTTAATCTATCAAAGGCTTTTTTTAAGGTCTACTTTTATGGCTATCTATCCTCCTTTACCTTGCTTCTTTCTCATGGAATGAACAACTTCTTGAGCTATGATCATGTTGTCAATGATACTCCTCCCTTGAATGAAACTAGATTGATAAGGGCTAATGATATTCGACAAAATTCCACAGAGTCTGTTAGCAATAACCTTTGTGATGGTTTTATAAACTACAGAGCACAAACTTAGGGGGTCGAAATTCACTGATTGAGCTAGGGCTATTGACCTTTGGAATTGGACCAATGAGAGTGTAATTTAGGTAGGGATCCAAAGAGCTACCCAGCCATAGATTACGAACCAAAGAGAAAAGACTATAACCAACTATACTCCATTGACTTTGAAAGAAAAGGGCATGCAAGCCATCGATTCCAAAGGATTTAAGAGGTTTCATCTCAAAAAGAGCTTGCTTAACTTCTTCAAAAGCAACTAATTGATCTAGAACATCGAAGTCAAAAAGGGAGATAGGCGGAAAAGCACCTTGGAGAGTAGGCAGAGTAAAGTGGGGATCTTGAAGAGAGTATAAATTCACAAAGAACTCGTGACCCATGAGAGAAAGTTGCTCCTCATTGTTGATCCAATCACCTTGTGCATTTTTCAACTGAGTAACACAGTTGCGGCGTCTTATAATCAGAGCCTTGGTGTGATAGAAAGATGTGTTTCGATCCCCCCAAACAGATCCAATTTGAAGAGGATTTCTAGAGCCATAAAAGTTCTTTTTAAAAGTATGTCTTTGTATTGATCTCTAACAGTTTGACTCATCTCAAATAAAAATTCAGAAAAAGGATCATCTTCAAGTTTGCATTGAACCCCCCAAAGACACGAGAGAATTATTTTTTTCCTTTTTCCTATTGCCCTAAAAACCTCAGTATTCCATTGTTGGGCTTTTAAGATGAAAGATTTTATATTTTTTGAGATATCATTCTCTGAAGCCCAAGATCGTTGCACCATGTTTGAAAAATCTGGATCTGTAAGCTAGGAAGCCAGGAACTTGAACGGCTTTTCAACCAAATTGGGCTTCTTATGAAGGCCCAAATTAATGAGAATAGGTCTATGATCATATAAGATTTTTGCCAAATGCTCCACACGACTGGTAATAAATAAATTATACCAAGATTGATTGCAAATGGCCCTGTCAAGATGGACAAAAAGAGTACCATGCCTCTGAGTAAATTTAGGACTAGGGGTGATCATGGACCAGACCAGACCGGGTTAGGTATCAACCCGAGGTCTGGTCTGGGTAGGACCTCGGGCTGAACAAGGCAGCCCGAGGTCTGGTCCAGTCCAGTGCCAGCCCGAGTTCGGGCTGGACTGGACTTGGTCCCCTGGACCACCTGGACCAGTCCAGGCAGTCTAGTTCGAGCTGGCACTGGACTGGACCCCTGGACCACCTGGACCAGTCCAGGCAGTCTAGTTCCTTTTTTTTTTTCCTCCTAGTTTCAAGGCTTCAAGCCATCTTTTTTTTTCTACTGATTTTTATCTACTCCACGGCTCCACTCAATCCAATACAAAATTTCACATTACACAGTAGACACAACAATAAAAAACCATTATCTAAAAATATCCAATAGCATTCAACAACAATAAAAATACAAGTCCTAATGATAAAATCCAATAATCCATCATAAGTCTATAACATTACACACAACAAGACAAAGTGAACAACAAATGATTGAAATCTAATTTCCATGATGTTGAACATCAATCATCCTCTTTCATTTTTCTCCTCCTCCATCTGTTACACTGGATCCATCTAGCAAAAACAAATTATATATATACATATAAGAAGAAGGAAATGGTAATAATTAATGAAATATGTAATTTTGAATTGAGAAGCATATAATTCAAAATATTACCTGGAACATTAACAACATTATCAGTCTCTTGAAAGTTGTCAAATTCACTCAACAAAGAGGTAAATTCTGAGATAGATTGCCCAGCAAGTAGCCAATTTTGAGCACTAATGAGTGCTTCAGTCATCCTATGAGATAGAGAACTCCTATAATCATCAACAACACGTCCTCCAGTGCTAAAAGCTGATTCAGATGCCACTATAGATACTGGTATAGCCATTACATCACGTGCAATCATGGAAAGCACTCTATACTTGGTAGAATTAACCTTCCACCATGTCAATATATCAAAATCATCATCATCAGTAGGAATGTCTTCTGATAAATTAGCTGAAAGGTATCTATCCAACTCTGATTGAGTATCTACTGATGAGCTCTTTTCTTTCTGGGATGCCAACCATCTACGACCAGGATCTTTTTTACCATCATTTGCACTAGAAGTATTGGCACCACCAGAAGAAGTACAAGTGCTAGAACCACCAGATCTACTTGTTTCAGGACCAATCATTGCAGAGTACTCCTCAAATAGGCGATACAAAGTGTTTTTTGCCTTGTTTTTCATGGACATACAAAGTTCAGGATCAATAAAGAGCTGCTCAAAAACATGATTGATGTAGGCAAGCTTGTATCGAGGATCTAAAATCACAGCAATAATCAACAAAGGATTCAAATTATCTGCCGCTCCCCAGTACTTATCATATTTCATCTTCATACTTAAGGACATCTCCCTAAGAAGAGAGTCATCAGACTGAGTAGTCTCATCCAACAGCTCATGAATTAGTGCAATTTGATGGAAACATATGTTTGCAGTAACTGTTAGTGAGCTAGAAAATAACAAGGTCACATCAAAAAACACTTTTAAGAATGTAAGAAAGACCTGTGCCTTATGCCAAGCTTGCTTGTTAGGAGGGCCATCATGTCTTGAACCTTTGTTAAAATATGTGACATAATCTTCATCTTCATCCTCCAATCTTTCAAATGCCTTTTGGAATTTCAAAGCAACATCCAACATTATATATGTGGAATTCCATCTAGTGTTAACATCTAAACAGCACATATTTTTTGAATCTAACATTTCCAATTCACAAACATTTTTAAATTTTTGAAGACGTGCAGGGGAAGAACGAACATATCTAATAGCATTCCGAATTGATTCAAAGGCATCTTTCAATTCCTTCAAGCCATCATTAACAACCAAATTGAGAATATGTGCACAACATCGTATTTGAAGATAGTCACCACCACAAACAAGACCCTTCCAGTTCTTTAATCTTCTTTTCAAATATGTCAAGGCCGAGTCATTGGATGTTGCATTATCCATAGTAATGGTGAAAACATTTTGTATGCCCCAATCTGACAAGCACCTCTCAATTGTCTTTCCAATTGTCTCACCCCTATGATTCTCAATCATACAAAAATTAAGAATCCTTTTATGCAGCTTCCAATCATTATCAATGAAATGAGCTGTGAGACATAGGTAATTGAAGTTTTGAACTGATGTCCAACAATCCGTAGTGAGGGAAATACGATTAGTACATTGCCTCAACAGATTCTTCAAGATCCTAACTTCACCAAGATATAATTGCCAACAATCTCTAGCAACCGTTGTTCTTGAAGGGATCTGAAATCGTGGCTCTAACTCTTTGACAAAATTTTTAAAGCCCTGCTTCTCAACCAACCTAAATGGCAACTCATCACATATGATGAACTCAGCAAGAGCCCTACGGCATCGTTTTTGATTGAACATATGAGGCATCAAGCTTCCTGCTTGCCCACTTGGTGTAGTATAATTCAACATCGATTGTTTTGGTATTTGAGCAGCCTTGTGTGGATTTCTTTGACATTTTCGCAAGTGTCTTTTCAAAGATGTTGTCCCATGCTTGGTTGGGTCACAAGCATAATCTATATTGCAATACTTGCATGCAGCTCTAACCTCTCCATTTGTCTCCTCTAACGGTAACTTAGTAAAGTGATCCCACACTTGTGATTGTTTCTTCTCAGGTTGTTTTCTCTTCTTACTCCCTTCTGTAGATACATTTCCAATTGTAGCTGTTTGGGCAGGGGGAGGACATTCTATGGTGGTTGGAGGTTGGTGAGGATGAGAACTAGGACCACTAGGGGTGGAAGATGGTGCACTAGGAGTTGGAGTCACATTCTCGCCAATAATGGGAGAAGATTGAGATTGGTCAACACTTGAAGATTGTTCAATATCCATACCTGCACAAAGATAAAAGCACAAATAAATAGATAAACAAACAAACAAACAAGGAGATAAATTTGGCTTTGAACAAAATATAATGTGACCTACTCATATATTCCACTTATACAATTCTAAGTTCTTATAATCAAATACATTCCACTTATACAATTCTAAGTTCTTATATATAATTGCACACGTAGTTCCTGCACTCCTCATAAAAGAACAATATAAAATCATTTAATTTACACACACACACCCCAAAATTGTAAGCCTTGGTTTACTGGATGGTTAAGAATCTAATCAGTAGAGAGGACAAGGTGATGGCGCAAAAAAGGTCTTTTCCTTAGGGACGGTGACTCTTGCATCCACAAATTACTGATTATATAAATTCCATTTCCAAATTACTTCACCCCAATAAGATCAAAGGCAAAACAATCTCCAGGAAATACTTAATTCAGTAACTAGTGAACCCATTTATTAAATCTCAAAAAACTGATATTCAGAAATTACTACTGCACAAAGATAAAAGCACAAATCAATTCAGCAATGAGCAACCAATAATCACGCGCATGCTCGCATCCATCAAATAAATCTCAAACAACTGATAATCTAAATTCTAAAACATCAAATACTCAACGTCCCAACTAGCTCACGGTGGCACTACAAACTAGCTCACGGTGGCACTACAAACTAGCTCACCGTGGCACTACAAACTAGCTCACGGTTTCAAGTCTCAACGAACAGAGAATGATAAATGCGCAGCAACCCATATCAGATTTTTTTTGACGAGAGACAGAGTAAATGCACATGACAATTTTCCTGGATGGAAGATCACTTGTAGTCATTCCTACATGCTAATCTATGTTCCATGCGGCACCCAATTAAGGCTACCAGGGTTCATCCTATAGCTACTTAGGATCCGATCTATAGCGCGCCACCCAATTAAGGCTACCAGCAGCGGTCTGCCCTTGCCCCTCCTTCTCCATTCGGCATGGGAGTCCATCGGACCAGTCTTTGAGTGCCCTTTCCAAAAAAAGTTCAATTGCTATCGGACTCCGAAGGCGCCGCCCAGAGACGACGCTAATCCCTCTTTTGTGCTACTCCTACTCGGACTCTTCTTTAAGAAAATTCTTAGTTTTTGAAGAATCAAAAAAAGAAAATGCAGGATAACTGGGCCGCTTCTCGACCGAGATCCCTTCGATGGTGAGCGCTAACAAACAACCTTCCTTGACAACAGGTTTGCTATATCTAGGAAAAATCAGAGTAAAGGAGAAAAGTAGAACAAAAATAACTACCTCAAACACAACAATGAAGGACTGGAGGAGAACGAACAGGCTGATTAGGGAGGACTGGAACCAGAGCACAGCGATGAAGAAGGAGTGGAGTGAGAACAGACCGATGAAGGAGGATCAGCCGATCAGGAACGGGCCGAGGAGATCAACCGTTCGACAGAGGAGACGCCGTCGCTGCTACGGTGCACTGCTACCTGCTGCTACTAGGGCTTCTTCGACGAAGATGGGGAGAACGGAGAGGGCAGACTGAGAGGCGAGAGCGACGAGCTGAGGCGCTGAGATGTTGAGACAGTTCAGTGAGGAGTGTGAGTAAAACGACAGTGTTAGACAGACCTAGTCCCAGACCGCCAGACGCAAATTAAAAAATATATATATATATATATTACCCGGGCCAGACCAGACCAGACTAAGTGTTTTGATTACTTGGTCCTGTGCCTGGTCCAGCCCGACCAGTCAGTCTGGTCTGGTCTGGTCTGATTTTTTTTTCAGACTGATTTTACCTAGACCGGGTTGGACCGGGCCATATCGGGCTAGACCAGGTTACCTGGACCACCGGGTTTTTTGCACAGCCCTATTTAGGACCATTGAATCCCATATCTAGAAGACCATGTTGGTGCATAAAAGCTTTAAACAAATTGCATCCTCGAGATACCTGATTAGCGCCTCCCTTACGCTCTGTACTGTGAAGGGTGGCATTAAAGTCACTAGCTAGCAGCCATGGAGTATTTAAATTTGATGCTAGATTAGTGAGATCATGCTAGAGTCATTTTCTAAACTTGGTTTGCAGGCTCCCATATATCGCAGTGAACAAGAAAGAAATTTTCTCTGCAAAATAGGTGACTTCCATATGTATGAATTGGAGATGATTACAAAGAACCTTTACCTCCACTTTGTCTGTCCAAGAAATCCAGATTCTGCCCAAAAAGCCAACAGCTTCTACATGATAATCTTCTTTATGACTTTATCTGTCTTAATGCCTGAGATACGTGGCTCCACTACAACAAAAATTTCAGGCTTGTAGTTAGCAACCAAAGATTTGAAAATAGAAGGAAACCTTTTGTCAAAGGCTCCTTGACAATTCCAAGTAATGATTGACATAAAAAGAACAATTAATGCGAAGGGACAGAAGCAAAATCAACTCCCTCAACAAGCATAGCAATTGATTCCTTATTAAATCCATCTGGTTGCTCATCCTGCGATCCTCTAGCAATGTCTTTCATTGCTCTGACAGAAGGGCCATGTGTACTCTCATTAGGCTTAGCTCCAAGGTTGTGAATATGAAGCCTAAAAAATAATTTAACTCCCTTACTTTTTGAAATTGGATCAGGTGGCTTAGGCAAAATTTCATTATGACTCACTTCATATAAGTAGGCTTTAGAGTTCTGACCCAAATGAGACGTTCGGCCATGATTGTCTTGCCTTTGTATGGGAACATGATTATCATCAATTATAATGGTAGTATTGTAGGTGGGGTCCAGTGTTGTAGGTGCTTCCATGGCCTTATAGTATGGGGAATTGAAAATACTATCTTTACTAGGAGTTGTTCAGGATTTTTCTTTTTGTTTATTAGTGGGTTCCACCTTTTTTATAACTTTTTTTCCTTGTTCTTACGTCTTGAAATGGCGGAGTCACCATTTGAAGGTTGTCTGACAGTTTCACACACCTCGTGTCGCTTCTCATCAAAAGTTGTCATTTCATTCAGAACCTCAAACCTTGAGGCTGTCAAAATGCCGTTATTGCCCTTTCCATCCTCTTTTTTTCCTTCTCTGACATACGTGCGTCTCCTGTGTTGTACCTACATCCAAGCACTGAACTGAGCTATCTCACGCGTATCTGGAATGGGTTCTTGCACGCGCTCTGGTTCTAGTGGAATTTGCTCTGGTGGAACGGTGGTTTCTGCTTGTATTTTTTCTGGGCAAGCAATTTCAAGATGGCCGTAGCGTCCACAATGAAAGCATATTGGTGGGAGTCCTTCATATTCAATATAGATAGTCTCACCATCGACCTGAATCTTGGAAGTAAGAGGCTTGGTGAGAGCTATGATAACAGCAAGCCAAGCAAACTTTCCTCTATCTCCTAAATCAGTGTTATAGTCTACTATTATAACTTCACCTAAAACACTGCCGATGGAACGGATGATATTCTTATGGTAGTATCTGATTGGTAGATGAGGCAACCTAATCCAGCCTACAACCTGATTGACAACATGTTCCTGAGACCTGAACAGGGAACTCCATGGTTGAACAGTCAAGTAGTGACCAAAAATAACCCAAAGACCATTTATACGAGCGTTCTGGAAATCCAAATCATTATTGAATTTAACGAGGAAGCAATTGTCATCAGAATGGGTGAAATATTGAAAGCTGGGCTGAGCCATTAAGATAAGGATGGTGTGGCACAGATCACCAGGACTCACTACATCCATCTACCAGGTCGATGCATGTGGGACGTCCCATAGTTTTGTAGAATTATACTGATCGGTGTTGATGAAGTAAGAATATGTGTGAAGCACATATAACGTCCCAGTTTAATAGGAGTTAGTTAGAGTCTAAAATATTTCATTTTTTTTTATACATAGCACAAGATAGAGTCTAATATATTTCTATGTATATGAGTGGTTTGCGAAAGAAATCTTTTGAGCAATTAGAATGTGAAGAGATTGCACATGCATGGTTTTTTAGAACGTGAATCCCTGCGAGCAGAATCAAACAATAATCATCAGTTAGCTAGAAAATCCAAGCAACATTATCCTAAAATGTGAGAAAATGCGTGCAACTTGTTCTCAATTAACTTTAATTGTTTAGCACTTCGATTTTTTTTCTTTGGCTAGGGCCAATTATATTATAACCACACGCTTACCCACACTTTCACTTCTTTTTCCACACTTAATTCTATAGGATTTGAACTTCCATCCTTCTCGGTATAAGAAGAACAGAGGTGTCATTGGGCCACACGGACTCCCGGCAAGTACTTTAAATATTTACGAGAGAGGTGAAAATTATGATTACTCAATATGTTCAATATAATAGGCTAATGTTATCAAGAATAATTATTGACCGGATTCATCACGTAACATTTGGACGTTAATGACTACTTGTATAAAATCAAAAAGTCGATTATCCAAGCTTGATCATTCAGTAAGTTTTGAAAACTCTGTCGTGCATCCATTAAGATATATCCGCAGGAATCAAAAGATAACAATATGATGCAATTGGGGTATCACAGAATTGGCTGCGATCACATATCTAAACATTCTGTTTCAACTAAAGACGTATAAATCCTAATAACCCACAATTATATACACATCCTTAAAATATAAATTAAATTGATATTTGAAAAAAATAATACTGCCTCCTATCCTTAATATAAGACCTCGTTTGACTTTTATTTTGATCCTAAATATAAAACTCCAATCCATTTTGTCTCTCATATTTAGGTATTTTTTTTCAAAGTAGTCCTTCTAGTAATGATAGTTCTAGCTAATACACTTGATTAGCAAGGATATTTTAAGAAAGACAACATTTATTTATTACAAATAACTAACTTAACTTATTTTCCTAATCTCCTCAAATTAGTTAACTAACTCTTATAATTAGGACCGGGCGTAGTATATAATTATAAAATGTATAAAAAACAGTCATGTTATTTGCAAGACCGTGACTAGTTGCAAGTGTACTGTATAAAGATATAAATTGATGCAATATTTTTTATAGAATTGATTTTTTTATATAAAATACAAAATTATATAAAATCACTAGAGAATAAATTCAAATTCCAAAACCAGAAAAAATTTATATTACAGGCGATACACGGCCACCAAATTACCACTAACGAACCAGCAAACTCATGATTATTAAATACGAGTAATTGACTAGTAGTAACCTCGAACAGGCACATCTCACTACTTTTGAATTTACACAATTCTCCCCGGATGACAGACAACTCTTTCCTGGACCAATCAACTTTCATGGGTATGACTCTTGAAGTGGTTTGCACAACACTATTCCCCTCCATTTTCTAAATGAATATGGCTGGACTGCGTTCATACAATTGTAATTGTAATTATACATAAAATCAGGAAATTTAGTGCAAAAAAAGCCACATCAAGCCTTTTGGAAAGCCGATTTGAAAGCTTAATGATTATCAATAATTAAAGTCCCCCTCGCAAATAATAATAACTGAGTTACTGTCTCCTCTACTAATTCTAATTAGTGCGCCGTTTTCATTTACCAATTCACCATCATTATCGACTGCTTTCTTTTGTGTAGTCAATTGTTGATGGTTAAGAATCTGCCCCTGAATAGTAATGCTATGTTTGGATTTCCGTTTTGGGGGAGTAAAAGCACATGGGAAGTCCCATATGAAACTGAGGTTTAAGACTTTTTGTTTGGATGGAGTAAAAGGCCAACCAACTTTTGGACCAAACCACTGGTATGTTGGAACGCTCAAATTTGCAGCTTTTGAGCGTTTAGGAAGGTGATACATTGTTAATAGGGCATTAAATGCTCATTCAAAATTCTACTTATCAGATTTGCCCTTCACCATTTTCCTCCCCCATCAGTCTTCTCTCTCACTCCCTCACTCAGTCAGCCACTCTTTTCCCTCCGTCAACTGGCCTGCAGATCGCTCCCTCCCTCCCTTAGTCTCGCCGGCTGTTCTTCCTCCCTTAGTCCTGCCTGCAGATCGCTTGCTGCCTCCCTCAGTGTCGCTAGCTCTTCTCCCTCTGTCAGTCTCACCTACAGATCGCACTCTCCCTCCCTCAATCTCGCCAGTGTCTCCCTACCTTAGCTATATATATCTTGTCTTTGTCGGCATCCACATTTTTTACATAGCATACATTTTAACATTCATGCACCAATTTCGAAACTAGATGTTGGTTCGAGGTAAAATGTGGTCTTCCTTTCCCCTAATAATTGTTGTTGATGTTTGACTGATACGAAAAATTGAAAAAGTTATTTTTTAAATGACTGCGTTGTCTCCCCCCCCCCCCCCCCCGGTTGGGCAGCTGAGCGCTCAACTCCACTCTCTCATACCACCATTCTTCTTGTTAGGGGTTTGGCGGGCTGCAGTTTGCCTGCATCTCTACGCACTCACTAATCAGGCCATATATAGGAGGTCCAAAATGATTAAGATCTTTGGGCAATAGCATATTACTACTCCCCTGCGTCAGCATTCGAATTAAAAATCAACGACTTGATTGGGCTATATATCTAGGGAGTATTTTGTTTCTTGCTTTGTGGATTCCTTTAAAGAAAAGCAAGTCATCTGTACCTTGGAGGTCTGATTATGGAGGATGAAACAATTATTGCTCACAAACCATTTTTATTTTATTATAATAATTTTAGGTATTTTTTTAACTATGATTATATTAAAAACATATAATATCAAACATTACTATTCAATAAAGTTTATGCTCTTTTCAATAATTTTGCAACTAAACTTATTTTTCTATTAATCATCTAAATAAATTTTAGCTTTTTCAACTGACTTTTTATAGCACTAATCTAAATATAAATCACATTACACTAACTGACTTTTACTCAAACCTCAGCTTACAAAAATCAGTTAGAATAAAAGACAGTTTTGTCACTGTCAATTCAAACACACCCTTAATCATGACAATAGTTTTCTTGCTCTAGGCCTCGTAAATTGGAATGTAGCCCATGAACCCAACTCTAAGGGTATGTTTGGCTCAATGAGAGGAAGAGGAGGGGAGGGATTTTAATGGAGGGAAGGGGAGGGGAGGGGAGTGGAAGGATTTTAATATCACCTTGTTTGGATTTATAAAAAAAGAGGGGAGGGGAGGGAAAAATATTTTAATATGGACAATTTTGCTCTTATTTTATTTAAGGCGTGGGCATAATAGTCACAACATGACAAAATATAAACATAATGATCACAACATGACAAAATATGAACATAATGGTCATAATATGACAAAATATTGCCTTTTCCCTCCAAATCCTCCCAATTTTGGAGGGGAGGTTGAGGAGGGGAGGGGAGGGGAAATTTTAAAAATTTTTCCCTCCCCTCCTAAAATTTGTGTGTTGCCAAACAAGGGAAAATGATTAAAATCCCTCCCCTCCCCTCCCCTCCCTTCCAAATCCCTCATACCAAACACACCCTAAGGGAGGGCATCCTACACAAAGGAGATCACAAAAGGCTTGCTTTTCATGCATGTGACGTATGCATATACAGAAGCTTTAATTGGATTAGTAATATGAGAATTTATGTATCCGTTAACTGATCATTAAATCAGAGAGAACAACCTCAGAAAACGAAAGGGGAAAAAATCGTCTTCTGTTAACCTGCATCTCAAGTAAGCTGGTAGCACAGGAACTGTTATTTCTGAGGGATATGAATACAGCGCAGAGCAAGAAATTAAGCAAAACTTAGCAGCTAATTAACATAGTCGTTCGGGTTCTAATTGCAAATTGGGCTGACGAGACGGGGAAGGGAGACAAGTGATGTCCACTGGGGACGTGTTGGTTCATTTCGCTGTGATGTCAGAGCGAGAGAATGGGTTTGAAGATTCACCACTATATGACATTGATAGCAGTGTTGTGTTGCTACACACCCACATATATATGGGACAGTTGGAATAAGCTAAGGTCGTGCTTTTAGTTAACATGAGATGGAAAAGGGGCGGGGCTAAGCCGTCATATCCACTTCTGGTATGAGGGACATGTCATCTCTAATCATGAACAGAAGAAAAGCACAGACGATCGTAACAGTCAATATTGGGGATTATTAATCCTTTTTTCTCGGTGCTCAAACCATGCTTATCCCTTAATAATCACGTCCCTTGACTGCGCCCATCATATTACTTTTCCACCTCTGCCTGTACCCTAAAAGTTCCCTCATTCGTTTTCCAGCTTTTCCCCTGCCACTATCTCCCATTTTTCTCAATACTCTTTTTAGTCTTTACTTTAGACGTGCACAGAATGCCCATACGCTAGCTGTAAGATCTGAAGGAAACAGAATCATTTGATCGATGATATGAAGAAACCCAAACCCCTTCTGTGTTTCTCTAGATAAAGTTTTGCTATTTTAATCATTTGGTCCGATCCCATTTTTATTACATACAGAGACCAAACCAGAATAATATATGTACTGCATCTTTAATTTGCCATGTTAGCTAATTCGCGCACCTTGTTAATTTTACTCGCATAGTCTTCAAATTTTTATGGATCGACACTTAGCTTCGACATGAATCATTAACTTTTGTTGTCCTTTTTTAATTATTTTTATTCACATTTATATTGATTCAAATAAAATAATCAATGCAACCGATCGAGAGAATGTACAAGAATTCACTTCCAATATTAATATTATATTCCTTGGGTACTTTTCCATTACGAGAATCTGCCCCCGGGGGGGGGGTTCGTGCGCGCGCTTTTCTTTTTTTTTTGGGGGGGGGGGATAGTAGTGAAGCCTAAAATCCTCTTAATATGCAAACAGAAAACAAAAGGAAAAAGGAAAAAGGAAAAAGATCGAAAAGCAGCGTGAGGAGTAGGGTCATGAAGGAGGACAAAGGTACGTAAAGGTTGGATGGCAAGGGCTCTAGCTAGGATCAAGTCCTCCAATATGTGTATATGAAATTAAATTACACATGTTTGGGTTCATGTTAGCTAGAAATCACTAAATCAGAATGACTAATTAGCAAGTGAAATTTAGACTGAAATCATGACCCTTGATGGATCAGCTGGGGATCAAACAGTAAAATGTTGAAACCAATGGTAATTTTTATTTACGCATAAATGGGGACCAGATCAATCGAGGGATGGTTATCAGAGAAGGGTAAAGTGTCACCGTCCGTAACATCTTATGTACAGTCTGTTTTTCACGCTGTTGTGAAAACGCAAGACGCTTGAATTTGACACGTCAACAATGGATGATACTAAGTGGACCACCCTCTTGAACTCTCATATATATATATATATATATATATATATGTATATGTATAATGATTATTGCCTATATAACCCCAGAAAACTATCGATCCTACGATGGGCCTGTTTGGGATAACGTTCTAAATTACTTATAAACACATTTCACATAAGTCGAAACAAAACTCTTTTCACATACTTACCTCGTATTCCATAAATCATAATTGAAAAGCTATTTATAAGCTATTCCAAACAGGTCGGATATCATATAATATTCTTGTAATTGCTTGCGATTAATAGTAGGGTGCAATCAGGGTACTCCCAGCCTCCGTTTCAACTGAGTAATAATCAAATCAGATTGACTAAACCCTCCCCACTTGCCCTCCTTTTCTTTATTACTAAACTAGACATCCTTTGCTTCCCGATCTTCATACTTCAATATAATTAATTAAGAACCACAGAGAGTCTCGCACACCGGCAACCAACGAAATCAGATTAAGATTTTTAGCTCTGATCTGTGTTCTCTTCAACCTGAACCCGCGTTAATTTTAACGTAATGGGCTGTACAACTGATTGGCGAACGTAAACATGTTATTGAATACGGCAAGTATATGCGTAATTCAAAATAATTTCCAAACTTCAGGTGAGGAATTATAAACCATTTAACAGAGTCTTACCTGAATAGGGATGTCTGCATAATTGACTATATAAAACCTAATGAAATAGTTTGGCTGTGTTAAATGCAACCCTAAGCCCTAGGGTTGTTGAAGATTCAAAGAGATAACGTCAACCTTCAACTATGCCACGTCGACGGAGATTAATAAACACGTACACCCAAACGCTTACAATCATTCACCCATCACTGCATGATAAATAAGTAGCTAGAAGCATTACAGATAGATGGAACAGGATCAAACCTCATAATAATACTGAAATACATATATAGACCGAGATTTTTGTTTTTAATATTTTTTTTTTCCAAACATAAGAAGACACACACCACTCCATTTCGTCGTATCAAAGCAAAGCAGGCCTTGATGTGAGAGTTCTCCCATAATTTATTACAGGCCAACTTCTTCATCTTCTTTTGTTTTGTTCCTTAATTAAAAGGCATTATTAATTATAGTCGTGCAGCAAATACTATAAAGAGGGGGGGTTTTATGTGACGGGAGACATTATGGAAATTTCCAAAGGTTTTGATCATCGCCACCGACGTTCCCTCCGGCAGCATCATCAGCATCGTTGTTCCCAGTAAAGTCCAGAGGAGGAGGGGTGAGCAGCATTCCTTCGGCCATATTGACAAGAACATTAGGTAAATCGAAGATTAAATCCTCGTCCACAAACTCAGCACCCCCATATTGTTGTCCCTCCGAAGCACCAACATTAGCATTCCCTTGTTCATTAGGCACGGGTAAGGCATCCCTGGCTGCCCCAGCAGCAGCAGCAGCACTGGCTGCAGCAATCTGGATATCACGGGCAGAGCCAGAGGCCGGAACGGGCAGCGAAGAAGCCGAGTCAGGGAAGTTAAGGTCAGCGTCCTTACCTTTGAGGGCAAGGGCGGCCACGTCATAGGCAATGGCAGCCATTTCAGGGGTAGGGAATGTCCCTAACCATATCCTATTGGGCTTCCTGGGCTCCCGAATTTCAGACACCCATTTCCCGCTACTCCGACGCCTCACTCCCCTGTACACCGGGTGACGCCCGGTTGCTGCACCGCTGCTGCTGCTAGCTCCGGTGGCAGCGCTGGTAGAACTAGAGTGAGTATTGGAACGCATCGTTTTGGCAGTTTGAGATTGAGATTAGTGAGATCCCGTGGCGGTTGGAAGTTGTGGGAAGCCATCATTTATGGGGGCTTGAATTCGAGGGGAAATCTGATCGAAAAGGAGCAAAGCTCGGAGATGAAAGTGCAGACCAGTTGTTTATGAACTGCGGCGTGTGGAGGGTTGGGGTGTAAGCCAGCTTTTTGTTGGATATCTCGTTGGAGACCGTGTTCCGCAGCAACAACACATAAAAGACGCTATACCTCCCCCCCGACCCACCCAATTAAAAAAACTTCAGAAAGTGATATGTATTGCCCCTCCTTATTATACATCAATAACCCCATTTTGTTTCTTCTGACATAGATTTGATGTATTAGACAGAGAACATAGTTTTCATCTCAACAGTGACGATCACTTACAAAAAGTACTGTGCAAAACAACACTGACGCGGGTTTGGTGTTGGGATTAAAGCAAGGGGTGTTTGAATTAACCTTTCTTAGAGTGATTTGATGATACATGGGTAAATACTATTCTATTTTGATCCTATTTCTAATTCATTTTCAATTTGATTTTTATTTAATATATATTTTCTTAAAATTAAAGTCAACACAAAAAGTAAATGAAGAATAAAATTGTAAATTTATATGCAAAATTTATCTCACTATCTTATAAATAAAACTAAAAGAATATAAGAAAAGAGTTTATCTCAATTTTTGTGAAAGCATTTTGTTTTTAAGTGCTCTTGATGTCTTCCAAACACCACCTAAAAGGAAAGTTTTTCTTTCTAATTTTTCTCCCTCATCCCTTGATGATCTTTTATTTTTCCCTCAACCACTAAAACTGGGTTCGTGTTGCTGCCCCGACATCAGAACGAGAAACTGAAACTGATAAGACATCATCAAAGACAGTAGATTACCTTGTCATTTCTATTAAGAGAGCAGTTTAAGAAAACCTGTTTTCCGTCAAATTCTGCATGATGATGTGGCGTCTAATAAACACTGCCGTGCTGTCAACTGAACTATTTGAGAGCATCTTACGCATGCTGCATATTAATGTTACGATCCCGGCCAAAGTACTCCGATCCGACTCAAGTAGTATATTCAAAATTGAGGTTTTATCTTAGTAACAAGAGAGATTATTTTGCTGTGCCTGGGGGAAAACACAGTCGTTAACCCAGAGGGGGTCACACAAGAGTCTCTTCAAGTTAGCTTTCTAACCTCCCAGTGGAACAGGGAGAAGAAAAGATTATTGTACATTAAATATGCCACACCTACTGATCCTTTGAAGTGTTAGTTGCGGAAGAAATCAGGAGCATCACGAAACTTATTTTTAAATTCTTTTAAGGAGGTTGCCCATGATGAGAATTTAGTTGTCATTGGTCAATATATATAATTATGGTTAGAAATTTGGGAAGGTTTATTTAATAATTGAATGGTCTATAATCACTTCCTTGAACCATTACCGAGAGTGCTATTAACGTTCTAACTTTCAATCAATTCATCAAGTATTCTTTAATTTTAATTAAATATAGCGTTTTCGTGGGGAAAAAAAATCCCATTCTGATTTTGGAAAGTGGAGGCTTGTCGACTGTGGCATCATGTGTTTTCGAAAGATTAAAAAAATGTTGGGGCCATGGTTTGTACGGAAACTTTATGTTGATTTTGTGCATAACATGGTTCTGTAATACAATATTCGCCCGTAACAATTATTATTAATCAATTGCCATTGTGATTACTTTTTTTTTTTTTTTTGAATTGGCTCTTCATTCGGTCGATAAATTTACAGAAGTTTCAGTGGGACACGAATTAGAATAAATATCTGTTCGCTTATTTATTTTTCAAAATATCACTGCTGTTGAAACGTGAAAATGACATTTCTCGGCGATTAATTATTATCGCGCGCACGCACACCTTTATTTAAATGGTTATTGCAAGGAATGTTTTCAAAATTTCACACGTTATATTGATGTGTCTGGTCAACTCCGATTTTCAAACAAAGTTAAAAAAAAAAAGTACAGTTCTAATTTCCAAATCTTTCAATTGTATTATCATTATTGTCCAAAAAATCATTAACACGCATATTAATATAGACATACGTACACAAATCCACTGTGGACTGCCTTTCCCGTGTAAATTTTACTCGTTCTTTTTTCTTAATTTTACTTGTTCATATTCTTTATGCTTTGTTTTTTTTAATTTCATTGAATCAATCGCGAACCGGCCGCTGGAATCCATGCCGCTAGCTCATGCTCGCATTGAATCCTGTCAGGTCCTGTCCTTTCATCATTTCCCCACTCTTACGTATCCTAGATAATTTTTTATTTCCAAAGGAAGCGTGTGGTACAAAAAACCGAAACTTAACAAGACGAGATAAGGTGCGAGAAGAGAGTTTTGATGGGAGAGAAATTTGATTACATCCTTATCAGAATGAGCAAGAAACCTTCGGGTTTAGCATAACAAGAGATCACGCGGTTTTCGAATGATGATAAAATATTTGCACAGAGACTTGTAAATCAAAGGGGGCCGTCGAAGTGGAATTTAGTGCAAGAAAGTAATGCGAATGAATTAAAGTGGCGTGGTCGACTAGAGCGATGAACGGAATGTCTTAGAAATACGAGAGATTAGGAAGTAGTCTGCGTGAGGAGAGACAGGAGAACCCCACCAATGGTGGTTTGGCCTTGACAGAGACGTGGTGGGCAGATTGCAGGACAAGGTTTTGAAATTTAGTTCAAGCTTCAAATTAAGCAAGCCTGCTACTTGCACACCTAGATTAATTACCAATGGATAACGCTGCCCTAATTAATTTAGGGTTGTGGCTGTCAATGATCTGTCTGGCCATGAATCTGTGCCTCTGTATATATTTACTACTGGAAAAGGGAATATGAATGGAGTTAGTAGGTAAGGCCGTAATTATACGGGGGCATTATCAGGCTGTGCTGCACAGCGGTGTGCCGCTACCGCGTATGCTTCGTAGCATCTTTGTTAATTACTGTTTCCCTCCGCTGTTATTTTTTGCCCACCACGCCAGCTACCTCGTTCAACTTTGGCAAAATTGCACTGGAGTCCCACGGTAGATAAAATATTGTTAAAAAAATTCCTAAAAATCTAATAATTGTTTTGGAGTCTCAAAGAAACTTGACTGTAATAATAGAAAAATAAAACAGACCTTCTTGCCCCTAGTAATAAAAAAGTGTTAGAAAAAGAGTTGTCGATTGCTGTTTTACTTGTCAATTTATCGAATAGTACATGTTTGAAATATTTCAAGTTACACAGTGACAAGTAATATTAATATATCATATGAACTAATACTTTTTGTTGATAATGTCATGTGATATTGTTATTAAAAAAGTCAGTTATCACTTATATGAAATTGTGAAATCAATTCTCATTAATTAACTCTTCACATTATAAGTGATAATTGATTTTTAATAATGATATTATATCACATTATCATCAAAAAGTATTAGTCCATGGGATATGTCAATATGACTTGTCATTATGTAACCCTAAATCATATTTTCCAAACTCATATCTGCAGATAAATTGAGAAGTGAATGAGCAGTATTAACAACTATTGCGGCCTATGTTGATAACTGTTTTTTTAGCACTTTTTTTATTATTAGGGGCAACAAGGTCTTTTTTACTTTTTTATTATTGCAGTCAAGTTCCTTTAGGACTCTAGAGCAATTATCAGATTTTGAGGAATCTTTTTGCAATATTTTGTCTATTATGAGACCTCAGTGCAATTTTCCCTTCAACTTTTCTCTCTTTCAACTTCTTCCTCTCCCCTTATCATTCTCTTTGAATTTTTCACTTACGTGCTCATTTTTCTCGCCTAGGATTTGCCCCTCCGCTCCATTTTATCCCCACCATTCTACATCAACTATCAACTTTACACCTATAAACCATTTCTTCTACTTCTAAATATTGTGATTACTTAACGACTTCGCATTTACTATTAAACAATTTAGGTAAATAATTCATTTATAAAAAGCATGCATTGATTTTTCTTTAAACTGCCCCTTCATTTTAATAATCTACAATTAAGTATTATTAAGACAGCGTACATGTTATCCAGTAATCTAGCTAATAGTTTGGACCCACTGAAGTTGTTGCAAGTGACAGGAGCCATCATCCCTTAATAAACACGTGCTCGTGATTTCGAACTCCAACCGCTAATCATATGCACGCAACAACTTAATTGGGAAAGGTTTGCCTTGTGCCTTCAGTATCACGAGGAAGATAATATGATCTTCAATGTCAGAAAAGTTTTGTCTTTGTGCCCGCGGGGGAAAAAAAAGAAGAAGAAGGGAAACATAGAAGAGATTGAATTTTTATATTTAAGGCCAAAATAAATATTCCAATCCTGTTTTGTACTGTTAGAACTCAAAGCAAGTAATAAAATATTATTTAACTAGATATTTAAATATATGTCAAGAGTGAAGAATAAAAAAATAAAATAGATGTATCACTCTAGTTGGTTGAAATAATTATAGATTAATCGAGCTATAAAGACGAATCAATTTAATACAAAATAATTAGTTACTGTACTGGACAGTCTGGGAACAGCACCAGGGACGGGAACGTGGGCCCATATTTGTTCGGGCGTACTTAACAGCTTGCCCCAGGAGATGCAATAACAGCATTGGAGTTGGGTTTTTCTTAACAGGTTGGCCCATATGGGTTTGGGCTTATTTACCGAGGGAAAGCTGAAAGTTGTATGTGTTCGCCATAGGAAGGTAAATTGTGCGTGTCTGGAGAGTTGAGGCTGTAACGCTATAAACGAGGGAGTGGTTTAATTTGGAATGGTACTCACGGCAAAATGTTGAATCTTGTTATCTTGACGAGGAATTTAATTTTTTTTTTTTTTTCAACCAGCAAGACGACTAATTTAATTTCTTGGAAAATAGAAAAAGCTTGGTATTATTAATTTTTTGAGAAAACAATAAATATTATTAACACTAATGATGAGTGATGACTGAAAATTGAACAGAATGGCCCGGAGTGGATGATGGAGCAGCAGCAAAGTGACGTCGTTGGGGAAAGAAAGAAAAAAGCAGAGTGATGGGAGTTTGGGGATTTTCAAAAGGCGAAAGTGACAGGCCGGGTGGCCCAAGAACCGCTCCTGGCTTGTATTAGACAATGAAAAACACTCAGGTACGTGTGACGCAATTCCGATGTTTGTCGGTTTTATAGTAGTATTTGCTAGTGGCTGTTGTTGTTTCATATCGGAATGAAGGTAACTGGAGAGTTGTCAGTAGGGAGGGCTGGGCATACTGGGGGGGTGCGGGAAGCAAACGGTGCGCTTTATGGCAGACGCGGCAATCACGTCTACGCAGATAGGATACGGGGCGGAGGGAGTGGAGATGGAGGAGAAGGACGTGGGCTGTAGTATATGCGAGACACCTGTGAGCATTTGGATGCGATGTGATGATTGAAACGCAAAGACGCTTTTTTGGCTGCTCCTAAAAGCCACTCCTTTAATTACATCAATGCCTCCCTTTCCTCCTCCTCACTTTCTCACCTCTCATCATTCTTTTCAT